GAAAAAAGTAGTGAACTTGAAGATAGAGCAATAGAAAACAAGATGAATCCAAGGAAAGAAAAAAGTGAAACAAACTAGACGGAGAATCAGTGAGCTTTGAAACAACTTCATACAATTTAATATATGTGTAATTTAAATCTACAGGGCAAAATAGGAAAGAAAAAATATTTGAAAAAAATGATAGAAAATATTTTACAAATGTGATGAAAATTATTAAACCACAAACAAGAAGTTCAATAACACCAATCACAAGAAACATAAAGAAAACTTACACACACACACACACACACACACACACACACAATCATAATCAATTTGGTTAAACCAGTCTGAAAAAACACATAAGAAGCAGACACAGGAAAAAGGATACATTAAATACTGGGAAGCAGAAAGATGGGAGCTTTCTTGCCAGAAACAAGTGAGGTAGAAAACAACAAAACAACATCTTTAAGCCATCGGTAGAGAAAAAAATCTAAAATTCATTCTTTTTTAAAATATTTTATTATTTTTATTTGACGTATATGAGTGTATTGCCTGCGTGTATGTCAATGCAACCGTGTCATGTGCAATGCTGCAGAGGTCAGAAGAGGGCTTTGGATTCCTCTGGAACTGGAGTTAAGGACGGTTCGTAGCCGTCATGTGAGTGCTGGGAATCGAACCCCGGTCCTCTGCAAGAGCAGTCAGTACTCTTAACCACTGAGCCATCTCTCCAGCCCCCTAAAATTCATTTTTAACAAATGTTTTTCAAAAGCAAATACAACTTTTTAGACATCCAAAAGCTAAAATAAATCATCACCAGCAAGTTCCTGCTAACGGAAACTTTAAAGGAAATCCTTAAAGCATGAAGAAAATCATAATAGGTACAAATATGAATCTAAACAAAGGAAGGAAGAGCACCAGAAAAAGTAACTCACTGAATGTGTAAACAAAAAGTTTATTTTCATAATTTAAAGGAAAACTAAGAGCTAGAGAGATGGCTCAACTGTAAAGAGCACTAGCTCCTCCTGCAGAGGACCCAGGTTGAATTCCCAGCACCCACTTGGCGGCTAACGACTGTCCATAACTCCAGTTCCAGGAGATCCGACACCCTCTTCTGACCTCCACAGCATTGCATGACATGCGTGCACTCACATACATGCAGGCAATACACTCATACATATAAAATAAAAATAATAAAAATATTTTAAAAATAATTTTTTAAAACAGACAACTTTATAAATAGCAGAATGTGTGACACAGAGCCTAAGAATACTTGGGAAATACTAAAGAATTACTAAGAGCACCAGTACACCAGTAAATTCAGGAACTGAGCTAAAGTGAACAGAGTCTATGAAAGGCAAATCTAACCAAAGTGCATTCCAACAGAAATAGGTAACATGAATTTTTTATTTTATGTGTATGAGTGTTATGCCTGCATGTAAGTGCACCTGTGTCGTGCAATACCCGAGGAGGACAGAAGAAGCTGTTGAATCCCCTGGAACTGGAGTTAAGGACAGTTGTTACCTGCCATGTGGGTGCTGGGATTCAAACCCGAGTCTTCTACAGGAACAGTGTCCTTAACTGCTGAGCCATCTCTCCAGCCCCAAGAAACTGAGGTTTTAGTCAAAAAACCTTCCCACAAGGGTACTCCAGGCCAGATGGAGATACTAGCAAATACTGATAATATTTAAGGAAAAAAATAACAATCGTACACAAACTGTAACAGAAAACTGAAGGGAGCATTTCCCAACTCACTGAAGGTTTCCAACATTACTGACAACTCCAAACAAAGATATTCTAAGGAGAGAAAAAAAAACTCTTCCACACTGGCTCTATGAATACAAGTTCAAAGACAAGAGACGAAAGCTGGGTCTTTAAGCACTGATGGGAGAAGGAAGGTTATGTCAAGGAAAGAGAAGGCACATGCAATATAGGATCCACTCACATGAAACACATAAAGTGGCCAAAATATGTCAAGAGAAAGTAGAACAGTCATTGCCAACAGCAGGCAGGGCAAAGAGAATGGTAAACTGCTCTGTAGATCTGTTACATGACATTAAAACTATAGTTAACGCCACTGAACTGTACATTTAAAATGAGTAAGACTGTGTGGGTGTGGGCGTGTGGAGGCCAGAGGTCAACCTCAGGCATTCCTCAGAAGCTGTCCACCTTGGGTTTGTTGTTGTGATGGTAGTGGTGGTGGTTTGAGACAGTCTTTCACTGGGACCCAGGGCTCACAGATGAGGCTAGGCAGAGGCCAGCCAGCAAGTCCCAGGAATCTTCTGTCTCCTCAGTGTATTGTAAGTAGAAACACGTGTTACTATGCTCAGCTTTTTACATGGGTCCTGGGGATTGAACTCAGGTCCTCATATATGTGTGGCACTTTACTAACTAAGCGAACACCCCTGGCCTAACAGTAAGTTTTATAGTATGTGTTTTTACTACAAATTTTTTTAAAGAGGGAGTAAAAAAGTCACAGAAACTGGTTCCCTTGCAGTGGTACAAATTAAATATATTTCAATCAACTAACTTCTAATGACCAATTTTAATCCCTAAATTTCCTTTTCTTCCAATTAAAAAATATAGCCCATCTTGTTAGTGGGACATGGGGGCTTCTCCACATATAATAAAGCATGGAGGGGTGCAGTAGATTGCTCAGTGGCAAAGGCACTTGCCACCAAGCCTGACAATCTGGGTTCGATCCTCAGGCCCGCATGGTAGAAGTAGAGAACCAACTCCTACAAGTTGTCCTCTGACCTCCACACAAGTGTGTATACACACACAGATATAACTAAATGTAAACTTTTTTTAATGAAACAACAAAGCATAGGGAACAAGTTGAGGAACTGAGGGACAAGAAAACAATACAAATGGCAAAAGCACAAAGCAGGCTTTTCAGACACAATCTCACTGTGTCATCCCCACCCAAAACAGCCCAACCTCCCAACACACAGCCTAAGTCCCTAAGTAAAACCCTTATAGAGGCTTCTGTTTATTCAAAGCACAAAGAAAAATTCAATTTGCCTACAAGGCCCAGTACTATCTGGCCCCAACCCACCTCTCCAGTCCTCTTTCCCACCAGATTCTTCCACAGATCTCCAGCTCCCTACCAACACTGTACCTTGTGCCGGTGATCCTCTTCTCAGGCCTTGCCATCACTGGATCTCTGCCCTGCTAACTGCTCTCACTGTAGCTCGTCCATTCCTGTACATCCTGGATATACCTCAGTTTATAGATCACATCTGTGATTTCTCTAACAATACCACTGCAGCTTACAGACATTTCTGTGGATTCTCTGATTACCATCTGCTGAGAACAGGGAACATAATCTGTGTTCACTCTCCCCAACTCCAAGGCCAAGCATATTGCCTGGTACCAAGTGGGCATGTCAATATTTGTTGAATAACTGAATAAAAGAATACAAAAATCTCTAAGAAAGCCAATAAAACACCCTAAGAGGTCTTCTTAAGGGTTTGTGCATCTTCATAATTATAAATCTTTTGGTGGATGTGCGAAACAAATGAGACTAAAATCCTTATCTAAACTGCCCTTCTAACTAGCTCACACACACACAGAAGCACACCATGGATAAAAGCATTGTAACTGGTTGTTTTTTTACGTATCCTGACACAATGGAAACACTACATAGGAAACACTCAAGAGTATCAGTAAAGAGCAAATTCCACAAGACTCTCATATATGAAAAAATAACTACTTAAAACTGTTGTGTTTTATACATATAAGATAACTATAGAAGCAAAAACTTTCTAAGGGGCAAGGCACCCTACTAGGAGTCTCATTATTTTAGATCTCAAAACACCAGAGATTTCTACCAAGAAAAGAAATAGAAAAAAGAAACATCATAACTGATACAGAATTCTGTATGAAACACATCAGAATTCGTGACCTTAGAAGCTTAATCCTCCAAATGCCCCATAGAACTATTTCCCAAACTCTACAGTTAATATAAGGAAATTATGAAGTTCTCCAATGCAAATACAAAGTGTATCTATACTCTACTCTGAAGACAAATCAAGCATCATTTCATCCATGAACATAATCCTGAAAATCCCAGCCTATATTCATTTCTTCACCCTCTAACCTTGGTGCCTACTACATTTAGCAAAATGTCGCCTTGTTTTCCTAATGATGAAATGTGTGCAGTCTCTTATTTCTTCTTCATCACGTTAAGTATCTATGACACTACAGGCGCTTGATACTTGTTTAACTGAAATGAGATTATACAGTTTTGAATAGTGCATCTTAATATATAAATTCCTGTACTTTATTCTTAATTAATGCTGCCATTCCCCCAAACTGTTCACATCCGTGTTCCCACACCATCATCCTTAGATTAAGTACAATTAGTCGTTACTAGCAATGTCTAAATAAAGTTTTCTCAGTACCACTTGTCCAAACTCAAGGGAGGTCTTCAGTGCCTCGGGGTCTTTCCCAGTGCAAAGCAGACGCGTCCTATATACTACACCTGCCCCTACTTCAACGGGGCACATTTCCCTTGATACCCTCCCCCATACCTAGCCAGACGCAGGGAGAGTTCCTTCTGCATACACATGGAGGACACACGCCCTGACATACAACATACTAACCAGAGTTCGCTCACAACTGGGATGACAACAGGGGAGCCCCTGTGACAGACGTGGACAAAGTGTATCCCCTGGGAGAGGAATGCGCAGCAGACGCAGAGGACTGTACTAAGCGGGCGTTCTGCGTTCCCGGGGCGCCGCACACCTATCAGTCTCCACCAGGACCCGCGAGGCCGCGTCCCGAGAAAGCTCACACCCCGCCTCCCTCCTCCCGCACTGCACGGAGCTACCAAAGGACCGGCCCCTCTGGGCATCCGGCGCGGGGGGCCAGGACCCGGCCCGGGGCGGGGAGCGCGGGGGAGGCCGGGAGTAATGGCCGCCACGCCTGAGGCAGACGCCGCCTGAGGCGCAGGACACCTCGGCCCGGCCCGCAGAGCGCGACGGCCCTGCGCAGGAGGAGGGAGCGAAGGGCCTCACCGTCGCTCCCCGGAGGCCGGCACCGCCGTGGACCCGCAGTTGCTAGGGTGAATGCGCTTCCGGGTCACGGGCGCGCGTTCTAGAGAGAAACGGTGGCCGGGTGGAGCCAAGAGCGACGCGCTGGGCGAGTGGGTGGCGATGGCAGCCCGGGCGGGGGTCGCTGCGCAGGCCGCAGGGGCCGAGCGAGGAGCGGTCGAGTGAGGGGCGGCGCGTGGTCCTTCCGGATCGGGAGACTCGCGGTGGGCGGCCTTCCTGTCCCGCAGCTCGGCCCCTTCCTCCCCTCACCTCAGCACGCGGCTCCAGAACCTGCCGGCCATGGGCCTCCCCTTAGGCCGCTCTCGCTTCCCGGCCTGCCCTGCGCCTACGCCAGCTCCCTCTCTGATACCAAGTTTTATCCGTCACTCCTGAACACCTGTTGAGGGCCGGGTGCGATGTTGGCACTTGGGCTAGAGAGGTGGGCTGCTCCATCCCAGAGTGTGAAAGCTGGTGACGGTACCCAGCTCGCTGAGGTGGACGAAGGAAGCCCAGAAGCCCGCCCAGGCACGAAAGAGGAAAAGCTGAGCTTGGTGACCTCAACCAAGTGAAGGAAAGCTTCAGGTCATGGAGTTGACCCGGCTGGCGCGTTGGGAAGCCCTTGGAATGGGAGCGTGGCCTGACCAGGAAAGCGTGTAGAGAAGAGCTGATAGCTGCAGGTGAAATCCAGGACCAAAGAGAAGGAACTACCCTCCTTGCCCGAAAGGATGTCAGTGAGGAGCTGTCTATCTTCATTAGCAGCTGCTGTGGAAATCCCATGTTCATTGGTGATCATCATATAATCGCAATTCAGGAATGCATTGTCAAAATCGAAGGTGCTTGAATGAGACCCACTTCAGGTGAAGCAGCCCAGTGATATATACTTCATGTTGAGGCAAGAAAAGGAAATACAGCTAACTCTTCCTGGATTTCTTGATGCTTAAAAAGCCCCACCTTGGTATTTCAGTGATTCCTTAAGGAATCAACCCAAGGATTTGGTCTTTAAATTTGTCTTAGATCCTTCCCCAGCTCTCAGCCAAACTGAAGCAAAACTTGCTTGTCCAAGGGGCCAGTGGAGATAGGAATGAGAAGAGCCAGAATAGAAAAAAGAGCAAAGGCTTGAGAGGATGAAATCTGGAATTTTAGTACTAAAAATGGAAGCAAGAATAGAAGAGCAAGGACAAGCCCATCCAAGATTTCATTTTGACTGAATGTCTGGCAGTTGGTGTGATGGTTACAGGGTTGGGATGGACATATTTTGCCCTCTCAGTGGAGTGAGCCTAGCCTCCTCCTGTGAGCCGAAGGAAGACCACAGCACACTTTGGAGTGGCCCTGAGCTAGATGCTTGCCCCACCAGCCTCTCTGGGCCATAACTTAAGTATGTCCCTGGTAGAACAAAGGTTCCATAGAACAAGCTCTTCCAAAAGAATTAGAAATAATGTTTATCTCTAAGAGACCGTAAATCTATCCATAATGGATTTAACCAGCTGCCTGTGAAAGTAAACCAAAAATTTTTTTAAATCTATGGTCGAAGAATATGGAAACACAAAGTATGTCCAAGCAGACTGTCATGGTCCACTCTGCTGTACTGAATTCCATAGACTGAGTGAGTGTCATGACAGCAGGCTTCTCTGGAAGCTGGAAAGGACAAAATCACAGCACGCCTACTTTCGGTTCATAGTCAGCAACCTGCTCATTGTGTCTTCATGCAACAGAAGAGGCAAGGGAGTTCTCTAGAGTCCCTTACGAGGAGACTAATCCCATCCATGAGGACTTCGTTCTTATGACCTAATCACTTATCAAAGACATGACTTCCTAATACCATCACATTAGGTATTGGTGGAGGATACAAACAGTGTATAGCAAAGGCCTTGGTGTAATACCAGCAAAACAAGACCAGAAAGTGGTTATAATATGGTAAAGGGAAGCTATACCAATTGTTTGGTAATAAAAGTCACAAAGTCAGCTCATAATATGGAAAATGCCCAAGTACATGAGTTGATGAATTCTATCTTGCATACACCTTATAGTATATTCTATTGAAAGGTCAAGTGGTTCACTAGGTTCCACTTAATTGGATCTGGGAAATTTCAGTGGTGAAAAGAGAAAGAAATTTACCGTTGTAAAGGGCCTGTTTTTAGAGAACTGCAAGGAGTTGTGAATGAACTCTGCACCTCAGTGTGGTTTGTTTTATCCACCTTCAGTCTCTGGATAACAGATAGCCCATTAGTGATGCAAAAATGCTTTGAGAAGAACCAGGATTACCATGCCCTGCTAGGATATGAAAAATCCCCTCTGCAGCTTCTAGAAGCCTTCCAGTTTGATTTTAGGAGGCACTGTATCACTATCTTAGTCAAGTCTGGGATGCTGTAACAAAGTACCATAAATGGAGACTTAACCAGCAGAAATATATTTTTCATGGTTCCAGAACTTGGGAAGTCCAAGTTCAAGGCATTGGCAAATTGGTCAGGACCCACTTCCTGTTTCATATCATGTCCTGATCAGACAGGAAAAGAGCTAGTTAGCTCTCCAGCTTCTCATAAAAGCACTCATCCCATCTTGAAGTCTCCACCCTCATGACCCAATTACCTCCCAAAGGCCCTACCTTCCAATGCACTGGGATAAGTTTTCAGAGCATGAATTTGGAAGGACATAAAGATGCAATCTGTAGATCTGCTATTAATCCCCACATTTCAGGGAAGTTCAGGGATTATAGAGAGCTGCTGTCCTAGAGCTTTCCAGTCCTGGCTAATATTGATTCCTAGCCACCACCTCTCATCCCAGTATTTTGTACTAACATCCACCCAGTCACAAGAGCAGGCACAGAGGAGTCATCTCTGATTACACCTTCCCTGTGACCACACCCATCCTACTAACTCTGTCCATCAGCTGGTCCTGGAGGTTGTCTCATTCTCTTTATCCACTTCCACTGCCACTAAGGACAGTGAAAGGAGCAGTAACCAAGCAACTAGGGATGAATAAAAGTGTTGCAACCTCAAAGATGAGCCCAGGTGATAAAAGCAGGGTGTGCGTATGCATGTGTGGGAGTATGTGTATGAAAAACAGTGCAGTGACCAAACGCAAGACTTCAAGGAGATAAGGCAGAATAAATATGTTCAACAGAATTATTTAATTGCCTTGAGTCTGCTGATTTCATCATCCAGGAAGTAAGGGATCATGAAAGACTACAAAATAGGGTAAAATTTGAAAACATGTCAAGAGCCAAAGTGAAGGAGCGCCAGCTGCCGTGGAGGAGCTTTGAGAAACCAGAACACAGAGACCCCAGCTCAATCCCGGGGATGCACTAAGGCATCACTAGCCCAGTCTTCAAACATGTGGGCTGAGTGCTGTGGGCAGAGGTGTGATGGGTGAACAATAAAGATGTCATCAGCTTGCCTGGTCTGGCCTCATCAACTGCAGCACCTCTACCCACTGTTTCCAACTAGTGGCCCATACTTTGTACTCTGTTCTTGTTCTTGCTTCACTTTGAATAATTTTTTCTTCTTTCTAGTATTGGGGTTTTTGTTGTTTGTTCTTCCTTAACTTTCAGAATCTAAATCCTACCAAAATATTTTTTTTGTCTTCTTAGGTCTTATTCTTTTATACTATCACGTTGGCTCATCGTGTTCTATTTTTATCTCATAGCTCCTATTTAAATTTTTCACCTTTCTAAATTACCAATTATATCATGATATTTTAATTTTTATTTTATTGTGTATGTGTGGAAGTCAGAGAACAAGTTTTGGGAGTTGGTTCTTTCCTCCCACCGTGTTCAGAAAGGTCTCTTTTGTTTCTGCATGCTGCTGTGTACTCCAAGCTAGCTGGCCTGAGAGCCTTTAGTGGATTCTCCTGTCTCCACCTCCCATCTCTCCATGGGAATCCTGGGATTGCAGATGTGCACCACTGCATCCAGACATTTACATGAGCTCCAGGGATACAACTCAGGTGGCCCAGCTTGCACAACAAGCACTTTTACTCACTGAGCCTAATTTTACCATGATTCTATCAGTATATTGTTTTTCTTAGGTTTGGCCTGTTGTTTTTTAGGGATCTACTTTTTAATTTCGTATGCACTACTTTAAATGTGGGTTTTGAGCCCAGCTTGGGCTGCACAGTGAGACCTTGTCTCAAAATGAAAAAAGCTTTAGCTTTCATTTCACTTTTATTCTCTTTAACCACCCTATTTTATCTTTCTCCTATCTTTGTCCCACATATCTTTTCAGTGGTTTGTTGTTTTGTTTTGTTATTTTTAAATCACAAACCTATCTCACCAGCTCCAAGTGGCACCTAATAATTTTTATACTTGGAGGAGGAAACAGTGGCATTAAATTCCCAGAACCCAGAGTGCTGGTGGGAATTCACTGCAGAGAAAGGGCTTCATAGTATCAGAGCTTCCTGTTCTATACTTTGCCCAGGCCAGGTACCAGCTTCCACTGAAGCTAACTTAGCAAAACTTAATACTGCAAGCTCAATGTCACAGTAATGCAGCATAGTAGCCCTTACAGCAGGGGGAGCCAAACTTCTGGGTTAAATCCAACTCCTCCAGTTACTCACTGTGGGTTACTCATGTGCAGCTTTGGAGGAGTTACTCAGCCTCTCTGGGTCTCCATTTTCTTTCCCTGTGGAATGTGGATGATTCTAGTAATATAACATTGCTATTAGAGATTTAAGTGAGCCAAAGATGTAAAGCACCTATAATGATGCCTGGCTGATAACTATATCGTTATAATTTAATAAGTTATTCTTACAGCAGTCACTCTTTAGAATGTAAAATGACTATGTAGCTTACAGATGGTGATCCTAACAACAGGGGTAGCTTCTATACGTCTCCTGTAGCAGGCAATATAGCCTACCAAACCTCTTTTGGCACTCTCTGGCTAATGGAACACCAGTTGTTTTGAGGTCGACTATGGGGTCAAGTGCAATTGTGTGTGTGTGTGTGTGTGTGTGTGTGTGTGTGTGTGTGTGTGCAGATGTGCATATATGTTAGGATAGCAAAGAGGAACAATGTCAATGAAGAATGAGCAGCACTGACTATATCTCTGCATTCTAGAATTCTATACAGAAAACATATGATTGGCTAAGATCAGCCTTTGAATTGGATTAGGAACCCACTACAGTCAGACAGTTAACCAGGGAAGCAAACTCTTCCAGTACAATTACCACTACCAGGCATGTTCCTTTCTCAGGGCTGAGTGTGTATATATGTACACTTGGGGTAGGGTGACTGGATGCACAGGCAGAGTGAATGATAATCTCATGCAAAGTAGCCTGACCTCTCCACAGATGTACATGTCCTAGTCTGAAGAACTGGAGTATAATATACAGTATGCTAAAATGTGATGGTTGTTTTAAAATATTTGACTGAGGACCAGTGAGATGTCTCGTTGAGTTAATGTATTTTCCACCAAGCCTGATGACCTGAGTTCAGTCCCCAAGACCCACATGGTAGAAGGCCCTAGGTTGTTCTTTGACCTACACACACGCACACACACACACACACACACACACACACACACGGTTGTTCTTTGACCTACATACACGCACACACACACACACACACGCACGCACACACACACACTACATTAAATAAATGTAATTTTTTAAAAAATATTTGACTAAGAAAACAAGCTTTCATAGCAAACTAGGAGAATTTGATTAAGAAGGATTTGAAGGGGCTGGAGAGGTGGCTCAGCAGTTGGGAGCACTGGCTGCTCTTGCAGAGGACCTGGGTTTGGTTCCCAGCACCCACATGGTGGCTAACAACCATCTGTAACTCCAGTTCCAGGGGTCCCAACACCCTCTTCTGAGTTCCTCAGGCACTGCATGACACGGGTATTCTTATATACATGCAAGTAATTCCATCATACACATAAAAATAACAAGGATTTGGAGAGATGAGTAAATTTTTAAAGAATCTATAAGAAAAATGTTTTTGAGTTAAAATATGTATGAAAAATGAACAAGGGATGTTTTAGGTTAGGTAAGTGAAGACAATAAAACTTTAGGAAATTAGGCTTAAAATGTTGGAATTTGATCTCACCTAAATGAACTTTTAAAACAGCAACTATTAGAAATCCTATGTTAAAAAAAATCAAAGAACTTTATGAACTGAGAAAAACATAGGATAACAAAATTACAACAATTATAAGATTACATGTAAATAGACTAAATTCCCCTACTTAAAAAAAAATCACAGACTGATTTTTTTTTTAAAATCTATGCATCTTAAAACATAAAAAACACATTTCGAGAATGGAGAGAGGGCATGTCTCTAAAACTTGGCTCAGATAAACCAGACTTACACAAAAGCAAATGTAGCATGTGCCAGCTTGACTGACAAAGCTATGTTCATCCCGGGATTCCAGCACACCTCAGTGTGCCCAGAACACCAGAGGGAGACCCTCTAGAGTTCGGCGTGCATGAGAAGCCAGCCCTCTAGGAGAGAATTCCTTTTTTACTCAAAGCCAGAAAAGGAACCAAAAGCAGCAGGTCACCTGGTGCTTTGCAGCAGGGAAGCTAGAGTGAAAGGGCTTACGAGGCATGCCATTTGGCGGAAGGGCAGCTCTGCCCTACAGGTTTCCAACAGAAAGGAGCACCAGCAGGGGAAGAGTGCTGTTGGAGCATGTTGGCATAAATTCCCAACAATACTCCATTCATCAGCTCAAAAACAGGCTTTGCCCCAGCTCCACTGAGGAATCATTACCAAGTCCCCACACCACAGGACCTCAATTTCTTCTGCTGCTGTAGAAACTATGAGAGAAACTATTTCAAGGGAGAAAAATTGGGAAATGAGAGCTTTCCCAAAAATAATAGTCATTATTATTTTAGTGACAAAATTAATTATGATTCTGAAGATGATATTCCCAGTAGATAATATCAAGATCCAAAAACATTAACACTTCTTAGACTGGGTTACATAATTAACGATTAGATTAGACTAGAGAGAAAAACCAGTATACCATCTGTCCACACTTAACCAAACACAAATAGAAGACTCTATAATGGAACACTTGAGTTTAAAGGCTGCAATGTTTATAGAGACATTATTTTAAAAGTAAAAATGAAACCAGCCACACAGATAAAGCAGTATTGGAATAATGTTTATTACTAGAGTAACAAGATGTTTATTACTAGAGTAACAAGAAAGAAAAAAATTGAGGTCTAGGCCTAAACTTTTAAAAAATATGTAACAAGTTTGAAAGAAAAGTAATACTATGAAATCAATAAATTAGGAAGCAGAATGTTTAATATGCAAAATGAGATTTTTAAGAATTCGTTAACAGAGAATTCCTGCGCCCTAGTGCAGTCCCTACCAGCCACCTTTAGGTTTGGCTGGGTCTGCTCACCTTTCTAAGTATTGTGTCTTTTCCTTTTTCTTTTTTCTGTGTCCTTTCAGATGCTGGCCAGAGCCTAAGTATACTTTCTTTGGTATGTTGGACTGCCTTACTCTTTCTCTAAAGCCCCCTCCCTACCATGTGGCTAACCTCCTGTGATAGCCTAACTCAAACAGAGCAGCTTTCTTCCTTCTCCCCTCCATTCTCCTCCTTCAGGCTGTTGCCAAGATTTACAGCTTGCCTGCCCTGGGGTTTTTCTTTAAATGCAATTAAAATTGTCCTCCAGCTTCAAGGAATAAATTCATTGCAATACTGACAAACCTCAAGTAAACCTGTTAAATACTCAGGAAAACAAAAGGGAAAATTCAAGAAGCTATAAATATGAGCTTCAATTATTAAGATATACTATTCAAAGTCAAACCCTAAAAACCTTAGAACATTATAGAAAATGAACAATTTTAGGAAAAGCACCCCAAAACAAAAAGAAAAAAGGAGACAAGCAACAGAAAAAGATTAGAAAACAATGAGCCCTGCATGGTGGCACATGCCTTTAGTCCCAGCACTCAAGAGGCAGAGGCAAGATCTCTGTGAGATCCAGGCCAGTCTGGTCTTCATAGTGAGTTCCAGGCAAGCTGGGGCTACAAGGAGACCCCGTCTCAAAAAGACGAGGAAAAAAAAAAAAAAAGGAAAATTCCAAGAAAGAAATGGGAAGCATATTCAAAGATAGTAGAAATGAAAGAGGCACCAAGACTTAATGCTTTTATTAACAGTTTTCTTTTTCTTTTTCTTTTTTAGCAGAATCAGAGACAGTTTATTGGGAACATATATGATTCTGAGGGAGGAAGTGGGCTATGGCACAGAGGAAAAGCTCAGCAGCTCAGTGGCCCTGCTTACAGAATTGGGGTTTTCATGTCACACAGTAGAGGCTTTGGGAGTATTTGCATAGCATAGGCCTTCTCAGCTCACACTAGCTCTCACATGGAACACTATATACAATTTCATACAGGGCATGTCTCATTGGCATCTGAAATCACCACTCAGCACTGTA